CAAATGTAGAACAGGTTAAAATCTTTTCCCATTCTGTGAATGGCCTTTGGTCCTATTGAGAGTTTCCTTTGCCTTACACAAGTGCTTCAGGTTTATGACATCCCATTTGTTAATTATCAGTGTTAGTGCCTGCTCAATTAGTACTCTGCTCAGGAAGTTCTGTCTTGTTTCAATGTGTTCAAGGCTATATCCCACTTTCTCTTTTATCAGGTTAAGTGTATCTGGATTTATGTTGATATCTTTGATCTTCTTGGACTTGGTTTTTGTACAATGATAGATATGCAATTATTTGCATTCTTATACATGCAATCATCCAGTTTTACCAGTGCCATTTGTTGAAAATGTTGTTTTCTCTATTGTGTAATTTTGACTTCTCTGTCAAAAATCAAATATCCACAGGTGTGTGTATTTACTTCTGGGTCCTTGATCTTATCAAAAGAACAATCTCTCTGTTTTTAATGACAAAAGCATATGAGTTTTATTACTAGTACTTTGTGGTATAGTTTTAAATCAGGGATAGTGTTGTTATTTTCTCATCCAAGATTGCTTTAGCTATCCTGCTTTTCTTTTTGTTTTTTCATACAGAGTTGAGTATTGTTATTTTCTGATCTGTAAAGAATTGTGTTAAAATTTTGAAGGGTATTGCATTAAATCTGTAGATTTCTTTTTATAAACTGGCCAGTTTTACTATGTTAAACCCGATGATCAATGAATATGGGAGACATTTCCATGCTTTGAAATCCTCTCCAATTTCTTTCTTCAGAGTCTTTAGGTTCCTGTCATACCGGTTTTTCATTTGCTTTCTTACAGTTACACCACGATATTTTATCTTACTTGTGGCTATTGTAAAGGAAGTTCTTTTCCTGATTTCTTTCTCACCACATTTATCATTTGAATATACGATGGTTACTGGGAATTTTTTAGTTATTAATGTATCCAGCTACTTCACTCACGATGTTTATCAGTTTTGGATCTCCTTGGTAGAATTTTTGGGTTAGATTATGTATCCTATTGTATCACCTGCAAATAGTATTTTTTTTACTTCCATTACAATTCCTTAATTTTTCATATTCTTGTATACAACATTTCAAGTGCTGTGTTAAATAGATGTAGAAAGAATGGAAATTCTTGTCACATTCCTGTTTTTTTTTGTGTGTGTGTGTGTGTGTGGAATTGCTTTGATTTTCTCCCCATTTAATTTGATGTTGGCTAGTGGTTGCAATATATTTCCTTTAGTATGTATAGGTATGTCCCCGTATCCCTGATCCCTCCATGATATTTATCATGAAAGAATGCTTCTGTTTGTCAAAGGAAATTTTGTTTTGCATCTAATAGGCTGATCTTGTGGTGCTTTTCTTTCAGTTGGTCTATATGATGGATTAAATTAACAGATTTTCATATGTTGAATCATCCTTGCATCTCTGTGATGAAGCCCACCTAACCAGGGTAGATTATTATTTTGTTTTCTTAGATCCAGTTTGTGAGTGCTTAATTGAGTATTTTACATTTATGTTCATAAGAGAAATTGGTCTGTAATTCTATTTTTGTTTCTTCTTTGTGTGGTTCAGATATCAGGTAACTGTGGCCTCATAAAATAATTTGGCAATATCCCATCTATTTCTATCTTGTGGAATAATTTGAGGAGTATAGGTATTAGCTCTTCTTTGAATATCTGGTAGAATTATGTACTAAAAAATCTGGATACAATTGGTTGGGAGACTTTTAATGACTGCTTCTATTTACTGGAGGATTATGTATCTATAAATATTGTTTTGAACTTCATATAACTTCAGTAAGTGATATCTAACAGAAATGTTCACATTTTTTAGATTTTCCAAGTTTGTGATGTAAACATTTTTGAAGTATGACCCAATGACTTCTTTAATATCCTAAGTGTCTCTTGTTATGTCTCTCTTTTCATTTCTAATTTTGTTAATTTGGATATTCTCTCCCAGCCTTTTAGTAAGTTTGGATAAATGTTTTTCTACCTTGTTGTTTTTCCTCAAGAACCAACTTGATGTTTCATTGATGACTTGCATTGTTTTCTTTGTTTCTATTATATTGAGTGTAGTCCTCTATTTGATTATTTGCTGAATTCTTTTGTAGTACTTGTGTCGGCTTATTATTGTTCTAGAGCTTTTAATTGTGCTGTTAATTATCTGGTATGAGAATTTTCTAATTTCTGCTATCAGGTTTTAAGTACCATGAGCCTTCTCTTAACACAGCTTTAATTGTGTCCCATTAGTTTTGGTAGGTCATGGAATTATTTTAATTGAATTCTAAGAAGTGTTTATTATATTTCTTTCTTTTTTGACCCATTATTAATTCAGGTGGGGATTTTCAGTTTTCATGATTTTATAGACTTTCTATATTACCTAAAATGCAAATTTTGCTCACAGTGGGCTCATTTTATATTGTGGGTTATTTCAAGTTTTTTTTTTTAAATCTGTGGATACTTGATTTGTAACTGAGTATCTAAATGATCAATTTTGGAGAAGGTTCCATGAGGGAATGAGAAACAAGTATAACCCTTTTGTGTTTGGGTGAAATGTACTATAGATGTATGTCCTGGTCATTTGTGCCATAATGTTTGATAATTCCATTATTTATCCATTTAATTTCCTTCTGGAAGGCATGCCCATTTATAGGAATTTGCTGCTGAAGTGTCCCACTATAAGTCTTTGGGATTTGGTGTTTGATTTAAGTGTTAGTCATATTTCTCTTACAAATATGGGTGCCATTGCATTGGGAAATAAATGTTAAGAATTGAAATATCATCATGGTGGATTTTTACCCTAATAAGTATAAAATATCCTCCACCTTCTCTTTTGAATAATTTTGGTTTGAATTCTCACTTTTACATTTAAATTAACCCATTTTTATTCATCTTTGTATTGTCACAGGTCCTGTGGCTTTACCTGTCCTCCAGTACCTTGCTCCTTGGGCATCTCAGATGTGTCTGTCCACTGTGCCCTTCTTCTTCCCCTCTGTAGTTTAGTTTTTTCTCCTAACCTTATCCAGCCAGGGTATTGGTGAATATGCTTCTTTATTAAACCAATCATAACATAATTTACACAGGGTGTAGAAATATTCCACAACATTTCCCTCTTTTTTGTCTAAATTAATAGGAAGGTTTTAGCATTATCATAGTAAAGCTATGGAAAATGGAAAAAGGTATTAAGATTTACAGTACGAATACCCAATCCATTTGTGCTTAGCAAAACAGATAAAATAGTTATGTAACTTATCTTAGTCTAAAGTTTTGTATCTAATTTTCTTTCCATTATAACTAAGGAATATTTATTTATAAATATTGATTTTTCAACTCCATCAAATCCCAGAAGGATGAAATATTACTCAATGACAGGGACATCATGCTATCTCAACAGTCACCCAAAGATCCTCTGCAATGATGGGGCATCCATCTTTTGCGTACAGGCCTGGAATATCCTACCGACTTTACTGTGCAGCAAATATTCTGAAAGACTTCCTACCTTGTCTTGGCAAAGTTTGGCAGTCCCCATTTGTTGTTTACCCCTAGCCAGTTTTTACAGTGACAGCAATTGAAGCAAAGGCCATTTCTTTGCCCACATTGCTACCTTTATTCATAAATAAAAAAAAACTCCGTACAGTTTCTTTGATGTTCACCATCTATTCTGAATTAGATTGGTGCTGCCAGGATAGACATATCTCACTTTCATGAAAAGCTTAAATTATTATAACATTTAAAACGTCATATTTTGTACTTCTTTGAATGTTTTAAAGATTGCCTATCTATTTAAAGTACATGATTCTATACCTAGAACATCTAACTAACAAGACTATAAATTTGAGTATTATCGATGACTACTGATCAGTATTGCCTAATTATACATTACATTTATTATTGAGTTGCATAAAAATTACCTTAAGCAATTGTGGTAGTATACATACATTATAACAAAAGTAACTTTAAATTTGTATAAATAAAGTAAAATTCATTCCAACATAAAATATTTAGAGATTAACAGTTTTTGGGGGGAATTAAATATTCCATAATCTACTCTTTTTTTTCCCTCATAATAATCTAACCTGTTTCTATCATTTCTATATCATATCCCCTTCCTTTTTTTAGAGATTATGACCAATTTCAATGTGTAAACATCCCTTCTTAAATGAAAACAAACATTTATAACCAATATTTTGGGACTGTATGTCTAGATTCCTAGACAATTTTCTGCTGATTGGTGGGTTCTGGTAAACTTTCAGGAACTCTGAGAAAATCTGGATCATTGTTAAGGTTTGGCTTGAATATTTTTGTGAGGCTAGATCATCACAGCTAGCAATATTAAAGCTTTTTTTTGGATGTTGAATCACCCTCAACATTTTTATTGTTTTTTTTGTCCTCTTGGTCTGAAATATTTAAAGGTATATATATGTATATATTACCTTTATTAAAAATATAAACTGTGCATTGTACACAAACTAGCCAGAAATAATGTTTTTTTGTTTTATTTTGGAGCAGGTAAAATATACACCATTTTTCTTGTATTTACTTTAGGTTTGTTTTTTCATGTCTGTAGTCAGGATTTTAGGGGATCTTTCTTGATCAAACCTGAATTTCGTTGACTCAGGATGAATCCACAGGCTCTTATTTTCTGTGGAAACAAAAGCAAATCAAATGTCTCTGAGACATTACCATTCACTCATTAAGAGTCAAAAAATCTAAACACAACATATAACATAATATAGAATCTAGAATCTGTTTTTGATCTATATATGGTTTATAATAATTTTTATTATTTTAATTCTTTTTTAAGGATTTTACTTAATTGTTTTTAAATCATTTAAATCTATGACTGTTTCTATTCTTTCTCTTCCTCTCCCATGCCTACACACATTTTTCAAACATGCTGCGACCCACTTAGAGGCATTTATGTCTGAATATGTCCTTATTGTGTATCTCTAATACTTTCTGTCTTTATGAACAAAAAAACATAAATTTGCCACCTACCATGTGGCTAGAAGATGCCTATCTGTATCTCATCCTGTGTGAAACTGTGATGACTTGTCATGCTTCAGGTCAAGCCCACATGTCACAGCCAGGGAATGTGTCTCTGTATAGTGGCACACATGAGAGGCATGAATGATAATGCTGGTCTTGGCTCTGTTTTTGTGTGTCTAAAAGCTTTTTTAAGACATCTCACACTGTGGGACACACAGTGGTTGCCATATGTAAATCAACATTTCCCACATTTCAGTTTTGGAATTATCATCAGAGGTTTATATTAAATTCAAAATGCTCAGCCAATAGCTCAAGCTTGTTACTAACTAGATCTTACATTTAAATTAACTCATATTTATTAATCTATGTTGTGCCACATGTTCTGTGGCATCAACTGCCCATAACATCTTGCTTCTTCAGTGGCTCACTCCCATTCTGCCCTTCATTTCCTGCTCCATAATTTGGTTGTATTGCCTAACCATATCTTGCTTGGCTATTGGCCACTCAGCTTTTTCATTAAATTAATCTGGGCATAATTTATACAGTGTACAGGAACATTCCATGGCACTTAGAAAAGGGGGTGGCCTATGAGTGGTAATAGGAAGGATATCAGGATGGAAGAAAGCAGAGTTTTCCACAGGAACTGCATAGATAATCACCTGGAAATGGGGGCACTGAGTGAGGACAGGCCACAGCAAAATTTTGATATAAAGCTGTGAATGAAACTGAATGATTGCCTTGAGTTAAAAGAGGTAGATGTGAGGCTTTATAGATAGCCTACTTGCTTTCCTGGTCAGAGTGACCTGTGTTTTTTTTTTTTTTTTTGGTTTTTCGAGACAGGGTTTCTCTGTATAGCTTTGCGCCTTTCCTGGAACTCACTTGGTAGCCCAGGCTGGCCTCGAACTCACAGAGATCCGCCTGCCTCTGCCTCCCGAGTGCTGGGATTAAAGGCGTGCGCCACCACCGCCCGGCTGACCTGTGGTTTTTTATGGAGTGTCTTCTTCATTTGGAGGTGAGGGGAAAGCAATGAGTAGGTAGAAGGAACTTTGGAGAATAAGACCTATGTTATACACATTATATTGGGTAATTTGGGGGAGAGATGATACCAGGTATTCTGCACAGAGATGAGGATGAAACTAGGAGAATGGACTTGAGGAGGAATTGGAGAGATAAAGCTCTGCATTGAGTCTACTACTTTCATGCCCAGTTTTGCCTGTGAGTTCATGGGAAATGGTTGATTGAGTTGAGGTGTAGGGCAAATCAACAATTTATGGTAGGGGTATTTAGAAAGGTCTCTGAGATCCACTAGAGATGGAGGGGGCTGATGTAGGTGTTTTGATGTAGAACTGGGGATAATACTGGGGGATGGGACCCAAAAATGGAGAGTGAGCCAAAAATCTAAAGTTAGCTTACCTTTTTCCCTGCAAGAGTAATCTGTAGGTTCCCAAGAAAGTCCAGTTGAAGTAGTGGCTTGGGATAATCCTATGAGTTGGAAGAGTCAGGATAGGAGGAGAAGGTTTTTGGGATCCACACTAGATGGGGGGAGATGCCACAGATTTTCTGTGGCAGAATTTGGGATCATACTTGGGTATTGGAACTGGAAGAGAAGAGGAAAAAGAGAAAATATGTGGTCAGCCTACCTACTTCCCTGGCATGAGGCAGCAAAGTAAATTTTGATGAAATATACTAAGGATAAAAAAAACAGAAAAATTGAATCATTCCAAAATAATTTTCTCTCTCGATTTTATCTTCCAGGGGATTTTTATGTAAAAAGCAAAACCATCCATCAGATACTTTATCTTTTGAGAAATATTTGAATGTTTCATTATAAAATTCAATTTTTCCCAGGGAACGTCATTACCCACCTCTGTTGCATGCTTATTCATTTTCCCATGAGTCTCCTTTGCAACCATTCAATGCACTATTTTCAGGTATTGCTATAGTTGTTTACCTTTACATTAAATATTAACAGAATCTGTGATAAAATATGTAATAAAAATTTAGAGCCAAAAATTCCTCTATGTGCCCATGTGTAGGGCTTGGATTCCAAGCAAAGTCTTTCTTATTCCAAAACTTTGCGTTCTTATGACCAACTCCTAGAATTGAGCCAGCTATGGCAGTGCACAGTTATAATGCCAGTCCAGGCATCTGGTTGTGAATTTGATGCCCATCCAAGTAAGAGCATGAAATCATAATTCAAAACAATATCAAATATTGGCAATAGTCCCAAGTAAAAAATTATTGAGAACATTTTTTATGAAAGTGTTTTAAATCTGTGTTATTCTCAGTTACCCATAGGAAAAAGTATCATTTGGCATAAACATGAACCTCCACCAAATTATTTGTGTATATTGCTTTCATTCACCTTGACTGCTTTCTAGAAGTATTTCTATAAGTATCTTTAAACATCACAGGGCAGGTTGGGTATGGTGGTGCACACCTTTAATGCTTGCACTTAAGGGGAAAAGCCTCTTTGTGTTTGAGGTCAGTCTGGTCTCCACAGCAATTTTCATCAGACTAGATAGGACTCCCTCCATAGCATACTGTCTCAAGACACACATCCCATTGTATTTAGTAGGTAGGTTGGCATACACCTGTGAATATAGCAATAAACATTTAGAGACAAGATGATCAGATGTTGATGGTCTTTGTTCAATACCAAGTAAATTTGAGGACATTCTAAGTTATATGAGACTCATCTAATGTCAACTCCCCCATAAAAAATCACAGCTTCTGTATTTTAGGGGCCAGAGATCAGTCATATTGCAAGATGACTTAATATACAAATGCTGTGTTTGACTCTTGCCCTCTTTGCAAGGCCTGTTTCTTTTCTAAACCCAATTGAATACTTTTTCATTTCATGGTGCCATTTCATTCTTCATGTTTCTTTTTCCATCTTCCATCTGTAGTCACCTTTTCTGCATCTGCTCTCTCAGAGCTCTCTAATTATTAACCTCATTTTTGTTTTGTTTCTTCTTGTAGAATACAAGGGGAACCATAAGGAAGATCTGTGACTTCCTAGGAAAGAAACTGGAGCCAGATGAGCTAGATCTGGTCCTCAAGTACAGCTCCTTCCAAGCCATGAAAGAAAACAAAATGTATAATTTTAGTATCATCCGAAAAGATGTGAATATTAATGGTTTGGTCCTCATGAGAAAAGGTGAAGAAATTATCTAGTTCCAAAATATGTAAGAATAAGTGGAGGGTTTTTTGTTCAAATGAGGCTCTAAGAAATGGTTGTGAATGTGTCAACAGTCATTGCTAATCTCTGATAATTTCTCAGAGACCTTTGAGGGGAATCCTTCCGTGGTGATGACATGGACTTCAGAAACACTGAAAAGATTGATTTTTTTATCTGGGAGATGATGTTGGCATTTTAGAGGGTTGTGTACAATATCCTCAATGGAAAATAAGATTCATGTTTTTGTGAGTTTTTGTTAGGCTCTCTGTATCATGGCCCTAAACTCTAAAGAAAATGTTTAATGGAAAGAACCACAGATATATATTGGATGATAGCCACAAAATACACTTCCATTCACTGCTGGAAAAAGATGTTCAACAGGTCAAGATTGCTGATCCACTGTAGGCTAAGAGTAGAATTTATAAGGACTAAGTGGATTATCCTCCAGTGTTAAAATATGATGGCATTTGCCAAGCTAAATTTGGATTGATTCATGATCATAGCTACTGTCTTTTTTTTTTTTTTTGAATTGTCTCCTTTGGAATGGGAGTACCCATCCAAACGTCTGTGCCACCTCTCTATGTTATGAGTAAATTGTGTGTATGGTTTCATAGCTGTGCAGTTGAGGAGTGACTGCCAGAATACACCACACCAAATTAGTGAATAATTGGTGAGGTGGAACTCAGGGTTGAAGAAGGAATGTGTTTGATGTGAAGTATTTGGGGGTGACTAAAAAACTTGGGTATAAATGCAAGAAGTGGAGAGTTATGGGTTTAAATTCCCTCTTCCAATTATTTACATGCTTCAGCCTTAATCTTTAGTCAATCTCCAACCTACATGTGAGGATAACATCATAAGACTCTAAGGACATCAGGAATATATAGAGAGACATAAGTAAGTTAAATTCATTAGTGTATTGCATTTAATTCAGCACTCCTGGTGTCCTCAAAGGAGGAAATTATACTTAGATTTGGGCACACAAAAATGTCAACTCAAGAAAATGGTCATCTATACACTAAGGACTGAGGCCTATAGGAGGATCCACTGCCATTGATCCATAACCTCAAACTCCTGTGCTCCAGGTTCTGTGGACATAGAGTTCTCTGTACTACAACTGAGAATCTCAAGTAAGAAATTGCCCATTCTTGGATTTCCTGTAATGAATCAAAATTGGGTAGAGATAAAAGAGTATGTGTACATAAATGGCTCCAATGAAATGCCAAAACAAAAAGGTGGCTTGTTTAATAGAGAGAGGCTACTGAAACTAACAAAAGTTTTATCTGAGACACACTGGAGAAGGTGAATTAAAATTTGGAACAAAATTACATGAAGAAAACTGTAATTTCCTCTTTTCCAGCTATGTTTTTCCAGAATGAAACCACATTGGGATTTTAGTTTAGTATCTTCTAAAGTATAGAATTTTCATGTATTATATTTTTGGAGGAAAATATATAGTAGTTATTTCAAAAAACTGATATGGCCTTAAAGTCATATGTTCTTTCATTATCATAGTGATCATATAAGACACCCATTTCTTTTGCATTTGAAAATAACTTTTATTCTGAGAAATTGTTTTCCTTGTATTAAACTCACTATAAGCCATGAATCCCACAGGACACCAGGTCAATGAAGGGGTAGACAAACTTCATTACACCCCTCAACCCGATTCATGACTCCAGTACAGAAGTTGCTGAGATGCATATGTTGGGAACCCTTTTTGAAAGAATAAGAAGAATGAGGAAAATTTTGATCTTCTTAATTCCAACATTAGATTGATTCTTTTTTTTAATATGGAAAGTATGAGTAGATCAAAGTTTAATTCTAAAATTTATTTCATTACTTACCATTAGATACCTAATTCTTAAACCATAATACATGAAAAGTTGTGTTAAATGTTATACTAGCTTTGACTAAGAGGAATTCTCTCTACTTATTTTTGTTGTCATTCAGTTGCTTTTCTCAGGACACCAGAGAGATATATTTCCTTGCCTCTAGAGAGACACTCTGAAGAGCTACTCTTTATATAGGAGACTCACTTATCTGGATAGATGGGATTAATTTAGTTTAAAGCTCCAATGAAAAATTTTCAACAAACAATTTTGAACATTATGATTCAATATTTAGATATTTTTGGGAATATAGACCAGAGAGATATTCTGTTTAATTGATATAACTTTTATACAGACATTGTCACAATCAAGACACATGGGAGGAAATGTCTTCTGACAAACTTCAAAGGTTTCACCCTCATTAGTTCACAGTAGATATTTAGTGTAGTACTAAGTACTAGATATGTTACTTGAGTCAGTACTCATTTTCTCTGATGTACAAAAAAGATATTAATCTGAGACATAGAGGGAAGACCTATGGAGAAGCCCATTATCTACAGGTCAGAAAAGCCAGGAGGGTATGGACAACAACATTTTATGAGACCTGCAGCCTCTCAAACTAGGAGGAAGTTCCTTTCCAACAGGAGTTAATCCACTATGCATTAATGTTTTACTGACACTGGACACATCAGAGTTTGAGGAGGTTTTTACAAAGAAGCACTGAAGAAAAATACATGCATGAAAAGTATACAAGATTTTGAGATGGTTGGACTGAGAACTTTATGAGTGCCCCTCAACAAATATGAGTCTTTCATCTGGACTGATTCATTCAATTTAGCAGACATAGTGAATTTGCTGAGAGTCTGGTAGCTCAGCATCCAGTCTGGTTTATGAGAATCAAAAATTGCTGTGGGATACAATAATGCAACTTGTTCCAATAATGAGTATTATAATGAAGCTGAAAGTAGCAATGGGCATTGATAGATTCCAGTATTAATAGATGACACTCTTATAGACATTGCAAGTAATGGTATATTATTTGACTATTGTGTATCAATAATTCAATTTTTTTAATGTGTACCACTGGGCATTTAAAGTTAACTTATGTGATACACAAAGATTATATTTTAGTAAGGAAAAAAACATGACTTCTATTGTCAGTCTTTTTGGCTTCAAATCTACATGCATAACTATACTGCTGGAAAGATCTCCAGGACTAATTTTTCTTCATCAACAAAATGACAACAAGGCCACTATCTTCCTTACTCTTTCACAAATCCTTTCAATAATTCCATACTGAGAATGTTTTTGTATGTCTGACACACTTTGATAAATGAAGCCTTTGATAACTTAAGAAATATTTTACTCTTCAAACATATTAGATGCATATTTCAAGCATGTTTGAAAAGAGGAAATTTATCAAAGTATCACGGCTATGAAATAAAATACAGAAAGGATAGGGCCTGTAGAATTCTACATGGAAAGAAGATAGAAAGAGATGTTCACCATCACACAAATAAGGAAACAGACAAACAAGAAGTGACTATGTGGAACACATCAGCACTTCAGGGATAAGGAACACATAATCCAATGTGAGAATTTGGAATATTGGAGATATCTAAGTCCAAGCCTAAAGACCTCCTAGAATGTGGTTATGAGAACCAAAGTAGGGTAAAAAAAAAAACCTGGGATGAAATCATCTTCATGCATCAGCTAACTCCATACTGACTGAAAACAGGCATCCTGGGATGCTCTCAGCAGGCAGTATTTTGTGTCTCTTGTATCTGTTGGAAATATCAAGATGACTGATATGTACCTCACCATTGTGTGTATATCCAACTCCATGGTATCTGATACTTTCAATCTCTGAAGGCATGTGCATTCATATGCAGCTACAGACACATAATTAGAATTAATTTTAAAGGTGTTTTAAAAGTTGTGGCATGGTTTGCAGAACAGTTATAAGTAAACCCTAAAGGAAGAAAGAACAATTGAAGTATGTTTAGTTAATTGAGATATGAAACTCTGTTGGGCTTGGGCTCGATAGTATGATGGAAGCATGTCTAGTGAGAAGGAGAAATAATCTGGCCATTAAAAATATAGATCCAGTGTCCATGTTGTTAGATTGTGGAGTTGATATGTTGGTATAAGAGATGGTTGACATTACTTACACAAAGATACAAGTCTGTTTGCATACTTTCCAAAACATAAGAATTGTTCTCCATCGAGTAACTGTTAGTTCTAGTTTATTAACTGTGTGGTTCTACTTAAGCAGAAGGTAAGATCATGTGAATAAAGAAATGAGAACAGATTTGTAATCATCATTAACCCATCTCTGTGTCTGCTTCACATTTTCCAGGTGTTCCTGGGGATTGGAAGAATCACTTTACAGTAGCTCAAGCTGAAAATTTTGATAAAGTATTCCAGGAGAAAATGGCTGGTTTTTCTCCAGGGCTGTTTCCATGGAAATAAATTCTTAAAATTTTAAAATCTTACATGGACACTGGTGTTTATTTTCCTGTCCTTGTACAGGTGACTGAGTGGATATGGTCATAGAATACATCCTATTATTGAATTGTGTAGGGTTTTTTTCTAAAATATATTAGGAGTAATAATAGCAGTAGTTATAGTGGTTATAGTGGTAGTAGTAGTGGAGTAATTGTGGTTGTTTTATGTGAGTCTGTGTGTGTGTGTGTGTGTGTGTGTGTGCAAGTGCATGTTGTTGCAGGTGTGCATCATGCA